AAATTATTAATTATTCAAATATGTATTGTATGTTTCAGAGTTAGGTACTTTAATACAATTACTTCCAAGTTTTCCACTTTTCTCGTGGTATCTCTGTGTAAAAAGTGTAACTATAATGCTAATATAATAATAATTATAATAATAAGTTGCACAAGGCAATAGTCCTGTGTGGCCGTTCGAATGTGTGCTTCCGGCCGGATTTCCCCACTCCCCTCCCCCCGGCAAAAACTTCCTGGCACAATGACAACTTTCGATAATCTTTTCACCCTCCACACAAGATCCAAGACGATCTTGCAGTTTGCACTTAGTATTACCTCTTTTTTTTTTATATTATTACTCATTCGTGGGGGGGACAGGTGTGCAGCTGATTTTTTATGATGTTAATATAGCAACTGAATGTTGACAGAATAACGGTCCAATTAGCGATTGGCATTTTTGAGCTGATTGGAGAGCCAATCAAGACCCTCGTAAAGTCCATCTCCACTTGTGGCACACGTTGCTTGAATGTACCAGTTACGATTACGCAAAGAGTGCAGGCCCAACTTGTCGGTAATCTCTGCTGCATTCATTGCATTCGGGAGATCCTGAAATATTATTCATAAATTGATTTCTTTTCGGATCAGCATTATCGTTATACTTTTTCTTGGCACATATCCATTTTACATGTATAGTACATGCTGTTTACACAACAAACATTGCATGCCTTAGATCTTTGAATGCTTCGTAGACGGCTGCATTAAGACGAAGTATGTGCAAGTCAAAGTATATTAATACTTTCAAGTGTCTATACTTACTTGTTTATTAGCAAATATAAGGAGTACCGCATCTCTAAGTTCATCTTCTGCTAACATCCTCATCAATTCTTCTCGCGCTTCACCAATACGTTCCCTATCATTACTGTCAACGACAAATATCAGTCCCTGCAAGTAGGTTCAATCCATGAAAACATGTCCATTATAATTCATATGCATCTCAAGTCAACTATGAAATAAATATATATTTCAATCATATAAGGTTGCAATGAGATAAAAAGCAAGGAACTACGTAAATTTAATTATAGGAATAATGCAACTGATAAAAGATGTAGTTTTTGACTGGACGAATTACATACTTGTGTATTCTGGAAGTAATGTCGCCAGAGCGGTCTGATTTTGTCTTGACCACCCACATCCCATACAGTAAAACTTATATTCTTGTATTCAACTGTTTCTACATTGAAACCTAGAATTCATAATCTCGTGTCAGTAGTTTGTAATTTGCATAGTAATCTACTTCTCATTAACAATAGTATGTACACGCATAGAATTTAATTCTGAAATTGTTTGTAGTAGAATTGATTAATGTTTTTAGTTAGCCCGAGCTTTTGTCTCTAACTCCGATGCGCGTATACTTCAGAATTAAATTCCATGTTCGGCTAACGAGATTAAAAGACAACATAATATTTACCTATAGTGGGAATCGTAGTAACAATTTCCCCTAATTTTAATTTGTACAGAATTGTGGTTTTACCCGCTGCATCAAGACCCACCATCAAAATCCTCATTTCCTTTTTGCCAAAGAGGCCTTTGAATAATGTTGCGAACATATTCCCCATGGTTGGTGCTGGTTATGTAAATACCTGCAACAAGAGATAATACATCAAAACTGAATTAATCATCGACTCATTGCAATATGTTACGCGACGTAAGTACGTTTAAGTATTTCACTTATGTACTGTACATCATAATGTTATCAGTTCCTCGCTATATTTTTTTAATTGAATTACAAAAACACAATCCTTCGATTACTGTTAAACAATTCCAAACCTTTTAGTAAACCTAACCAATGATCAGCATAAGTATTTATAAAAAGAATGAATTACTAATAAACTAATATAGGGGCAAGAGCATCATCTGCAGGAGAACAAAGACAATAAATAGCATATAATCACAAAAATTATAACATTACGCCACTCGAACATAATATATAACATTACTACGGAAAAAAATTAACTATGCCCGACATATGCAAGTCTACGATGCACGACCAATCGACGTGCAACAATACGTCGGGCCTTTAAACTCTGTCGACGAAAAAGACAAGAGATTTTCAACGGAGCTAAAATAAAAAAAATAACAAAATGCGATCGGAACGACGGAAGAACCGCGCTGGAAACGAATTCGACGGAAAAAAAATACAGATTTTGCGTACACGAAATACTGAAATCTTGTAGACAGAACGGACGAAGTAGAAACATGCGTAATGTACTGATACGCCGCTGACACAAAGACTAAAAAGCTAACCTGCACATTTACGAAGACCGCGCGACAAAAAAGAGAAAAGAATGCGAAAGAACGTCGCGAACAACACGAAACGTGGATTTTAAATTGACGATTGAAAGAGACGGAAAGACACAGAAAAAAAAATGAAATGTGTATAGGCACGCACGAGATGCTCACGCTGCCCGCTATTGATTCTCATTTTAATACATCGCTATGATTATCGGACTAGCATACCGTCAGGGATCACTTTAGAGTGTTTCGCCGGTGGTCTATGCACTTTTAAAACGTGATCGGCTAGCTAAAACGCCAATACCGAGGTATTGCAAGCAAGGCGGAAGATATTGTGCGGTTTGCGAAGCCACTGCGTACACCCGGTTGTCTGTCACCTTCGACCTACTCCCCAGCGAATCGTCAAAGGTTCCCCGCTCAAACTTCCATTATTTAGAAATGTCGTCTGATTACCGAGAGCTTTCCGTAATGTCAGGCCGCCCGTACAAGCCACTTGCGTTACTTACGTTTCAGTAAAAAAGATTATTTTCACGAGAAACGATAAAACATAAAACCAACACTCTCGAAAAGTACCGTATGTCAAAATGGCGGACGTGGAAAGGATTCATGCCTTATGCCACGTATAGGGCCCTTGAAATTCTCCGATTGGTTACACCAGTCACGTGACGCAGAGAATTTACGGTGATTCTCTTTTAGCTCGTCGGGTGGCAGCACTGAGGCGTGACTCGTGTAAGTCATCAAAAGTTTCGTGAGAGTGTTAGTGAGTAAGTGAGCCATGCATTCGTGGAATGGCCCACGCTTATGAAAGCGAAAAGATATTCTTTCTTTTTCCCCTCTTAATTAAGAATTCTAGCAATGATGTTACAGGAAAGCACTGCGTCGATGATCGAAGAAAGGTATTGCCGTAAATGTTATAAGGTTTCCCTATTTTGTTGTAGAATTTTGAATTTATTTCAAATTAGACGCTACGTATACACAAAACGTGATACGAGGTTGAAGGATATAATGTTGATTACGCTAGTGACATAGCAGTCAATCAACGAGATATCGAAATGCCGGTAGCATAAAAAAGATTACAATTATGTTATAGTGGATAATTTATAGATAACAGATTTTTTTGTTACACGTCGTTTCATCTGTAATTCTATTAGAAATTATTGTTCTTCGTACATTTTATTTAAGTTTCATTTATTTTCGAGTACGTTGTTCTCGGTATGATAATGAAGAATGAGGTAGAATTCATTTTGGAACTCTGATTTTATTGTATTTTGTACATAGTTAAACTGGATTTATAACGGTGAAAGTATATTTTAGTGTATATGTAATATTTTTTATTCATTCACCTGGATGATGAAACTTTTCATCCCATGTTCCTTCTCCTGAAAGCTCACATTCCTCTACAATGTATGGCATGTCGGTTATTACCTGTAATGTCTCAGCAGAGTGTCCTGGTTTTCTGTGTATAAAAATATGTTAATTATACATTTGAAATAATATCAGTATCAATAAAAGAATTCATTTCATTCAACTGACTTTGGGTGAAAGGAAACTGTAAGTGTATGGTAACTTCTTGTAATAGACTTGCCTAACAATTTTCCCCTCTTTTGATCAACTGCAAAATCTTTGTTTTGAAATTTACTTTTTATCCGAAATTTACAAACACATGCTGCAGAAAAATTTAACCAAGTTATTACATGGTCATTGGACAAAAATTTATATGAGTTGTTAATAATAACTGTACTTGATAAATTTTCTACAAGTAATATTAACTTTTTGGTATCACTTATATGAACAGTACCAAAATCTAACATATATGATGATAATTTTAGCAATGGTAAGCATATTTGTAAAATTAATTCCACTTCCTGGAATTAAGTAATGAGTTTGATACATATTAACTTATGTCAATGCAGAAACAAATAATTTTTTGTTTTAAACCTGATAGTTGTTATCTGGGTATATAATAAATAATGGCTCCTTTAATACAATCATCGAATTACCAAATTCTTGTGTTTTTCTTGTGTGCAATATCATATTAATTAGTGTTTCATTCACATTGCATACAATCTGTACCTATGAGGACAACTTTGTTTAAATATTTTTTACACTTTGAACCAAACAAACAATTATATTACTTCTGCACATCCATGCCCATTTATACAAATGCCTACTATAGGTTTACATGGATTAGTTTCAATATAAATTGATGTGAATTTTATATGAAATGGGTCATATGTTTCTAAAAGCACATTCAGTACATTACTATTGCTGTTACAGAAGAAAAATGTTTTTTTCAGCCTGCAATTAGAAAAAATAATTTTGGTATAAATTTAGAATGTATATTTAAATGATGTATTGGAATTTTATAAGTTCCTTCATACTCCAATTTTTTCCGTTTTGTTTTTATTACATCATTGATGCAACATGTGAATGTTCTATCAGCTTTAGAAATGTTAAAAAGCAACTGTGGCTTAATAATAATTGCTTTTACATCAAATTCTATGGGGAGCAAGTAAAGCCCATCCGTTCTAGAGTATTGATTATCTTGGTATCTGAAAGATAATACCATATTTATTTTTCAGGTCTCGTGAAACACTTGAAATATATACAAACTTATCACTTGGAGCTATTCGAAGCAAACCCAAAACCTTGCAGGCAAATTCTCCTCGGAAATGCCCATTAGAAACACATTTATCTGGATATACACTTATGACTATTGTATCACTGTGTTTCGGTAACATAAATATTTCCCTGGGAGCAACCTTGAGAAATATTTTATAATTAATATTTTATACAATAGTCAATTAAGGGCTAAATTTTTATTGACTCACAGTGCAAACTTTGTTGTTGCTTTCACCGTAACAAGGAAGTATAGAAATTCTAAATTCAATATCTTCTTTTTTCTCTGTTTCATCTTCATCTGTTTCTGTAGGTTTATAAGCATTATCTTCTGTATATTCTTCATTATATTTTGAATGTCTCAACATTTTTTGCACTTCATCTCGTGCTGCCCAAGTGGAATCAGTTGAAGGTTTCCTATAAATAAAATGGAAGATCATATTTAACATAGATCAATATAGTTTCATAACTAAACAATGATATTATATATTACAGAGCTTAACTGTAACTCCCTCATACAAGATGTTGTTTTACGTTGAAAAACGTCTGATAAACTTCCTAACAGATTTCCAAGACTATTGTTGTTTGCCATGGAATCATCTGCTCTTGACATTTTTGACGATTGTTCAAAAGTTACAGGCTCTCTCATTTGTGATTCTCTCTTCCTCTGTGATCTATTATTTTTCAATTCTTTGGATAATTCATCTGTGAATGGAGTGCACACATCGTACGCAACATTGAAAGGAATTCTCTCAGTTGTAGTAGGTTCAACCAAAAATACGTGCCAATTGATAGCTATAGGTAAGACACTTGTATTCTTTAGCAACACTTTTCTGGATGTTAGACGGCTTCCTGCTGCTTCTGTACCATAACTGCAAAGAACAATACTGAAATTACAAACACGAATTGTTCTTTTCAAATTCTTTGAAAGAATGGAAAAGTTTAATTCCCTTTTTGTATCAACGTTGTTTCATTGTTTTCTTACTTAAGGACAGGTATTTTGGTTGAATCTTTTTGTTCTATTGACAGTGATATCGGTGATCCAACAACCTCAACGCAGATCGCTAATGTATACCGTGGCAAACCGGTAACTCTAATTTCTAATTCGTCAGTATAAGTTCCCCAAGTATCGGCGAAGACGTATATATCTACAGGTACGGCTTTAAATGGATCAAGATCGGAATTTAAAGGATCTACATAAATTACCACTCCCACTCCCGGTTGCTTCACTTGGCACAACGATTCTTCTAAAAATGAAACAGAATAACGAACGTTGTTCCTTCAAATATTAATATCGAAATCATCTTTAACGATTATTTTACCAATGATATTTTTGACCCCTCCAAAAGCTTGCTTGAACATAAACTTTATACGATCTTCGATCAGCTTCTCGCAGCTACAGCGAACGGGATAAAAATTCTTTATAGAAATCCAAAAATTCGATGGAATCGCAGTTTCATTTTTTATTATAAAAGTCTTCCTTTCCACTGGAAAATTGTCTCGGTTTCTAATCTATCCTTATACTCGCGTGTATGATACTTTAATATACCTTTTCTTAATGGCAAATTCAAAAATTCGATTACTACTGGTTGCTTTGGAGGTGGCAAAGTCGTTCTAGAAAATTGAACCACTCGCGAACTATCTTCCTCTTCGTAATTTCGTTCTTCCTTTAACAACTTATTGTTCGTCTGTAATTAGTGATTGGTAGACATCTTTATTTTAATTCGGAATATCAAAGATTTCTTTGTTTCGGTTCAAAATATCAAAAGTTCCTTCATTTCAATTGAAAATGTCAAAGGTCTCAGTCAAACAGTTTTACTAAACCAATAAATGGCCATCGAACTTTCATGGTTTTTCTTCGAAAGTAGGGAAACACCTATTATTCTGTAAGAAGTGTTTCCACCCTCGAAAGAACGAGAATCAGGAGAAACAAGTTTGCTTCCACTTCAAAGAAGGCCCCCCATAAATCTTAAAGTTTCATAGAAATCGAAATTGCCCGGGTTACCAGAGTTTCGCCGTAAGATCGTTTACTTTAATGATTCCTGAAGTACGCGTGCTCGGCGAAGATTCCGCCCCCGATTCGGCCGCGCCCGAAACACCCACGGAAGCGTCTTTAAGAACGTCCCCTTGATCCAGATCCGTGTTCATTAATTCCCGCTCCTCTCGCATTTTGTACCGGTCCAACAGTCTCTGCAAAAGTGGCTCGTTAAAGGGGCATTCTTGTGTAACAGGTTCGAAAGGTCGATTTTTTTTCACATAAATCAATACTGTAATACTTTAGAAATATACTTTCAAACATTTAAAGCCGAATTCTAGAAAACGAGGAAACTACAGCATGTTTAGTGCACGATAACTAAAATACCAATTGGTCGGTCACAATACTTGCACAATACTTCGTTAACGATAACAATAATTGGATATAAACAATTTTTTTAATACCCTGAAACCTTCTCTTAACAGCAGAAACTGAATTAATTCTTTAATTAATTCCACATGATCAGTGCTCAGCTCAAAAAGAATTCATAAAAATCGCTCGTTTTTGTTGCTGTTACACAAGACTTAATGGTCCATTAATGCTTCAATAATGATTCAATAAAAGTTCATTAATGGTTCAATAATGATTCAGTAATGGTCCACTAATGGTTTATTAATGGTTCATTTTACTCGATGTTCCTCTCCCTCGCCCCTTTCTTTTTCTATCATTTTTTCCTTCGTTTCAGCGAAACCCACCATCCCCTTCTTCGATTCACCAGCGATGTCCAATGCCGTTTCCAAGCTGTCCACGCGCCATTCGACCCTGCTGAAACTTGTTTTCCACCCGAAAATCTCGGGGTCGCTTCGTGGGAGGTGAAACGTGACGTAAAATGGCTCGATCGAACACTCGATTCCCAGGATTATGATTTTCCGCGTGTCGTCGACGTAACAGGGTATACATAAGAACTGCACGATTCCCTGCAAACACTCGGTTCATAAGGAATTAAGAGTTCGTGAGTTTTATTTGACTTTTTGAAATTACTCATTTCCGAATTCTTTTTTTTACAATGATTGGTTAACAGGTATTTCTCTGAGGAATTGTGTCAAAATTGAAATTCTAGCGTCAAGAAGAGATTTAATTGACAAATAATTAAAATGAGGAACTATCTATGTTCATTTTAGAACAATTGAATTAACGAATGATAAAGGACTATTTACGTTTCAGAACGATTGGAAAAACAAGTAACATTTCTTTGAACTTTTCAGGTTCTTCTCTAATGATTAATTGGTCTTACAATACGAATCGATGAATATTGAAGCAAATCATTCATTTCTTTCGGTTTAAAAGTATTTCGTTAAATCTTTATGTAACAAGGCAGAAAGATATTGAACCTCTTTTATCGGTACGACAGTTATTTTCATTTTTTCCGTGTGCTTGGCGGTCAGAGTACCATTTTGCGGGCACACGCAAAGTTTTATCTTTTCTGCGTCGGAACCGTTCGCCTCGCCCCACGAATACATCATAGACTTGTCGGAGAGATTCTTCACCGACAGTACATATGTTTCCTCGATGCCGATGTATAAAGCCCTGTTAAACTGTTCTTCATAAGAAAGAATTTTCAAACCAGTTCAGGGATCCAAAAAGAATGTGCACTTTGATTACCAGTAGACTTCAATCTTCGTTGCTTTTATGGCATCGAATAAAATTTATAATTTCTTAATAATTGAAGAAATAAGGGAATTAAAATTATTAATAGCCAAAGTGTGTACACATTTTTTGGAACACCCTGTTTGATGAATTATTTAGAACATCGTGAACCTTGTTGGTCTAATTATCCCTATGCCGAGTGTACGTTCACGTAGGAGGGGTTCAAACTGTTTGAAATCGATTGTATCGTAGTGGGAAAAGAATTCTTCTGTAATCTGTAACACGTATTTGAGCAATTAGAATATCGAAGTAGGGAAGATATCATTTATTGACTCAACTAATTCATGTGATGACCAATGTTCGGTAGGCGCGTCAGGCATTTCTTCGACGTCTTCATCGTCCGATAGAAGATCGTACCTCGAAGTTGATTCAGAAATACTGTCAGCCGTTTCGCCAATTGTCTCGTCGCTTTATGGAAATGAAATTTCAATTTAATAAAATGAATAATAATGAAATTAATCGATTCGATAAGATTAACAAAATCGCAACTAAATTCTGGATTTGATCAAATTATTATTCAGAATCTCATTTTAAAATTTTTGTCGCAGGTGAAATTCTCATTATCTTGATTTCGATAAGGGACAGTATACACAAAATGAACGATATGGAAGCCAACGCACATTCTACTTTCATCATCCATCGTGTGCCGCACACAGACTTCCACGTCAGCGATCCAAACGTCTACGGACTAACGATTTCATCAGTTCCAAACCTGACACGTTTAGTAAACTCAACGTATAAATCTATAAGAAGAATTTACGGTCGAAGCTTTCCGCCGCCTGTTGGTGCAAATCTCGGTTTGTAATTCTAGTCTTTTCGGTATGGCCGCGAGCGGGATGTCCTCCACGTATAATCTATAGATAAATAAAAAATAGAGAACGGTGTCGAAAGCTGTTGACGAGAATACAGTAGAATATCGAGTACCCTAACTCTTATTTGTTCTACGAAGGAGTCCAGAGCAGGAAATATTTTATTTTAATATTTACAAAAATACAATTACAGATGTAAACGCAAGATATAAAATACCAATTGTAAAACAATATGAATTTCTGTTCTGCCACTAATATGAATACAGTACTAAACTCCAATGATAACTTGCAAAAACTTATTCAATTCCTATCACAAAATTATATACTAAATTGTAGACTGTTCAACGTTGTTAATGACCTCAATTGATAAAGAAATATAAAATAAATTTATATAACACTTAGATTGCTATTATTTATATTTCTTTATCAACTGAGGCATTAACAACGTTTAACATTGAACAGTCTACAATTTAGTATATAATTTTGTGATAGGAATTGAATAAGTTTCTGAAAGCTATCATTGGAGTTTAGTACTGTGTTCGTATTAGTGGCAGAACAGATATTTATATCGTTAATAATTTCTTTAAATTCACATAGAATTTATATTCTGAAAGAAGCATTGTTTGCAGCCACTTACTGCAGTACACCAGAATAATGGTCCGGCTGCAGGTCTTTGCACTCGACGGTGACGTTGAAGTAATGCATGGAAACGGGCGAGAGGATCCCGTGGTCTGGATCAACTCGGAGGAGGTTCAAGGGGAGATCGTTGTAAATCTTTTCATCGAGCGGGGTCGTTCGTTTCCTCCATCGGAAATACATGCTTATTTCGCTGGCCACGGATCGCGCTTTATTACACATTTACTATTTTCTGCCTCTATATATTTCCGACCCGTCGATATTCATTCCGAATCGAATGAACGCCGACGATCCCGGAAATAGACGCCGCTCGAAACATGCCGTTACCTAACGTTGCTCACGCAAACCGAGCATTGCCCAATTCCGTCCGGAACACTCGTGTACAGGTTTACGTAATAACGGGCACGTTTATCAGTACGCCTATTCGGCGGCCAGTCCTTTTCCAATTGCTGGAATTTTAACTCTCGTTTCTATCAGCGACCACTTTATTCGCCGATCGAGTTGCGTAACGTCTACACCGATGGCGAACGGAACGTGGAACTACATTGTTCGGATTTCATAGAAAATCCGGGAACAATCGTTATTCTTAAAGATAACGTTCCTTTCGTGCGAAAATGTACATTAGAGGGAAATTTTAAAGCGAAAGGAGACGTTCGAAAACTAGGACACTTCGTATTCTATTTTCATATTATAGTTTCATTAACACTAGGTTTACGGAACGCGTCAAATCGACGCATATTGGGTTTCAGAAATATTATTTTCTAAATGTTTACGCCGATTTTGATTGATGCGATCAAATCTCCAGTTTCCACAATCTAAATAAACGAGCATCAATTCTTTTAGGAATAAAAGAATGAAGTGTACAATAAATGCCCGTAAACCTAGTGTCAAAAGAATCAATTTTTCTTTGATTCTAGTGAACGTTGTATTATATATGAAAATAGAAATAAAACCAGCAGAGAATTGCTTGGGACAAATGAGAAAACTGAATCAGCCAAGTTCTTCAGGGCAGCCATCGAGTGATCTCCTAGCAGTACATTTCGGTTGTAATAACGATAAAAAGCTGTTGACCAGATTCCAGCAGGCGTACCTACAACTACTCGCGAACGATAGCGCGCGTGTGCGAAAGAAATGTAGTTCTACGTTGCTGCGAGCGTTCGGCAAGAACGTTGTACTAGTGTTTGATAACAATGACGTAGATACTTTACTAAGCTGAATGAAATTCGGCTCGTACAGCAGACCATCCCCGATTATTTCCGTTGCCAGCATGGTACAATTGTCACTGAGTATATACAGCTGGTCGACCTGATAAGAATAGGCACGATAAAAACCGGGTCAATCGCTTCGACAAATCGTTTATCATTTACATGAATCCCGTAACTGTCCGGCAGGAAGTACGCGGACAGCGTTATTTCCTCCTGCGACTTCAGCTCGAAGTACGCGGGCCAAATCGCGAACGGAGACAGCATCAGCGTGTTTTCGTTCGTGATGTCCTCAAAAAGGAATGTTAGTTACTATACTGGGAATCCGTATTGGCCGATGTCTGTCAATTTGTCAGATGCTAATTTACATTGACAAATAGTTGAGTCAAGTTCAGAAGCGGACGCGGTTAAGCCCGGAAAACAAGAATTGAGAAAATTAATGCTTTGCTTTCTAAAATTATTACTTGACGTATTCAGAAGCTATAAAAAAGACTTTCTGGAAGGAACGAAGAAATGAGTGAATCCTTTAATATCTGAAAAGAATATTATTTATTCCATTAGAATTTACAAAAATCAAGAAATATCAAGGAATGGACTTAACCGCATCTGAGCGACTCAGTTATCAACCCTTTATAGATGAAGATTTTTTAAAGTAGAATCCTTAGTATCTTTACCATAGAGAGTCAAGTTATACGTCGAAATTTTAAATAGAAAATTACATAATTATATAGTGATCTCTTGTTGTCATTAATATTAGTAGTATTAACCCTTTGCACTCGGAAGTTTCTCACTAGAAATGTTTAACACCTCTTCACGAGACAAAGATGATATTCTTTGAGACTAACTCGAACAGAAATCACAAGTACAATGAGGAACAAAACTATTTTATTTCAATACTTCACGTATCGAGGCATTATACAAAGTTCAACATTAAATATCAGATTTTATAATTTTACTACGTCAAATCAAGTGGCAATTGAGAGTCACCTTCCGAGTGAATAGGGTTAATAGTTTCTTTTATAGATGAAAAGAGAAATAAAAATAAAGGAATAATGGTTGATACTAGGGGATAAACCAGGAAGACGTTTACTTCGATGTACATCGAGCACCAATCGATTTCGCCCATGATGAAAAATCGTCCTTCCCCGCCGATATTCTTGAACTTCATCGCCACCTGAACCTCCTCACCCACGAAACTTTTCTTGCAATCGAACATAATGTTTCTGATCCTCGCGCACGTCACATTCCAACTGTCGATGGTACCTTGACTGTCAATTGTCGACTGCAAACGATAACAGAAAATGATTTACATACATGAACAACATAGTTTCACTACTGTATCAACTAAAAAGCGAACAGCCAAGAATATTACAACCTCTCTTGAATAGATGCCTGGTTCCGGATGAGAAACGATTGACGTTTTATGGATGCTTTTCGAATCATTGGAATGATCTTCGTGTTGATCCATCTCTGTTAAATCAAAATTAATCAACAGGATCTCGTACAGTATTAATTAATCCCATAAATAATGAGATTTTTTCATGCTAAACTTTATACATAACGTTACAATATCTATTGGCAGTAAAGGAGAATATATTTCAAGTTTAAAAAACGTTTGTTTATATTAACACGTTGAGTGCCGTACAATTTTGCCGAGAAAAATATACAAAGTAAAAATAATGGAATATCAAATTATGTAATCGAATTGCGTTATTATTATTGCAGGTTTATTTTGTTGAATGTCGCATTAGGTAGTGTTACTTGTAATATAGAAAAGTTTTCAAATAATCCTTTAATCAAATGAATTATAATAATTCCATTTGGTTGAGGTCGCGTTAATTTAAAAAAAAAGACTTGTAATGAAACGTCTTATTTATGGGATCACCGAATAGATTAGTTTTCCTTATTTTACCTAACAAAATCGGTGGATCCTTAACTCCTTGCAGCCTAATGATCAACGGCTTTCCATTCTGCACGTTCACCACCAGAATCTCTTCCGGTTCGTCGATCATGTTACAGTAAAACGAAACGATCAGCTTCAGCTGCATTCCGGGAGGAATAATCGATTTGTCTCTTGACGGGGAGTCCATTGAAACTTGAAAATAGGACCGACACGGTCGTCCTTCTAGCCGAAATTTCGCCGGCGATACGGTGACGTTTTGCAACCTGATCGTTTTCTACGGTACCATTCAGCGCGAGCAACGTTCATTGCAAAGTAATAGATTTTTCGTCGGTCGCGCAAGCGAATTTGAAATCGAGAGCGTACTTGGTAGTGCTTGTTCAATTTGTAGTTTCGAAACTGCACGTAATTCGAATCAGCGACTAACACTGTTTTCAAGAATTCCATCCTGATTATGCTTCTCTTCGTTTGACCAATTAGACGGCGGTTAGGCTTGAATTTCGACCTACTTTTTGTTTACGGAGATCATTATTTATCCTTAGTAATTATTGCAATAAAAATCTATTGATTTAAGCTAGCTGACTTGAACTAGTCGATCAAAACCCTTTATTTTTTACTTTAACACGTTGAATGCCATGGTGGTCACCAATGACCCCCAACCAAATCGAATTACTGTAGTTCACTCAGTTAAACTATAATCGTTTGAAAAGATTTGTATATTGTAAATAATGCTACTTAATGCGGTGACGTTCAGCTAGATGAACATGCGATGATAATAATGCAATTCAATCGAACGGTTTAATATTATTTCCTTTCCATTTCGTGTATTTTCCTCTATGAAATCGTGCGGCATTCAACGTGTTAAATTCACCCCTTAAGTCCTTCCAACTTCACTCTTTCAGTCTCCACCACATTTCCTTAATCTTTGAATATTACTGAAACTTCTCAAATCGTCGATTTTAGAATATAAATAATGTATTCTTTTAGACGATGTAATTTTATTAAAGAAGCATGAACGTTAGCCTAATCCCAAAAATGGCAAGAACACTCGAATGGGACCAGGGTAGGAAATGGGTGAATATAATCAACAGATTTCAAATGAATACCTATCAACAGGGACTTTTTGCAAACACGTAATTTCCGTTAACAACGACTGAAAATCCAGTTCTCTTTTCGTTGGCTGTGCAGATTCTAACAATTTCTTATACTCGTCCCAAACTCTTAGTTTCGGCGGTTCTAACATCGAATCGGTGCGGTCTAGAAATTACAATACCCTGAAATCTCGTTGTTCAATAAATAATATCTAGCGAACGATTGTCATACCCAATTGAGTTTCGTACTCTTCACCAGCATCGTTAATTTTCATCCGCGTAATTTCCTCTTTAACTCTGCTCGTGTGTTCTTTCAACAGTTTTATGTCACCCGGGCAAGCGTTTTGCAATTGACCTCTGTAAGTCTGCAAAATTCTCAATGTTCGATTTCTTTCTTATATTCGACCATACCAATACGAACGTAGAACACGAAAGAGGACTCCCGTTGAAACATTATATTCCGTTGGCCTGCGTCGATCACGTTGTACGACATTTTCCAATTACATGACCCGGACTGCGACGGATTCTGGAATCTTCGCTCGTCCTCCGCGTCCATTCCCTCTTCGTCTTTGGCGTCAATCACACGCGCACAGGCCATTCCGTTAATTAAACCCGCCGTTAACCAAGAGCCGCCGGTTTTGACAAGCGTCAATTAAACGGTTGTCAAAGGGACGACCGTACAATTTGCCAATGAAACAATCGCCGGGGATCGGGGAAGGTGCAAAATAAAGCCCGGCGCCCGTCGCTTTTTTTTTCGAAATGTCGTTTATTTAGAAAAACATGTTTTTTTTTACAAAATCGAAAAATAAATGTCTAACATCTAAAAGATTTAAATCTACAATCGAGAAGCTGATATCGGGACGTGAAAGAAGGGAACAGATTACATTAATTTTAAGATTATGATTTATTTGGAAACAATTTTTTTTCTTTATATAAAGGTTTAGAGAATGAAGTTCTATGTACAAAAGGGTTACGTTAGTAAAATACTAGGATTTTATATTCCTGGC